CAACTTTTGCTTGTCTGGGAATTGTTTAATCTCCTTCATATTTAAATGATAATCGTGCTGGATACAGTATTCTTGGTTCAAGGCCCTTCTGTTTCATTGCATTAAATATATCATGCCATTCTCTTCTGGCCTGTAAGGTTTCTGTTGAGAAGTCTGATGATAGCCTGATGGGTTTTCCTTTGTAGGTGACCTTTTTTCTCTCTCTTGTTGCCTTTAATACTCTGTCCTTGTCCTTGATCTTTACCGTTTTAATTATTATGTGTCTTGGTGTTGTCCTCTTTGGGTCCCTTCTCTCGGGAATTCTGTGTGCTTCCATAGTCTGAGCAACTATTTTCTCCCTCAGTTTGGGGAAGTTATCAGCAATTATTTCTTCAAAGACACTTTCTATCCCTTTGTCTCTCTCTTCTTCTTCTGGTACCCCTATAATGCAGATATTATTCCTTTTGGATTGGTCACACAGTTCTCTTAATATTGTTTCATTCCTGGATATCCTTTTATCTCTCTCTGCGTCAGCTTCTATGCGTTCCTGTTCTTGGGTTTCTATTCCATCAATGGCCTCTTGCATCTTATCCATTCTGCTTATAAATCCTTCCAGAGATTGTTTCACTTCTGTAATCTTCCTCTGGATGTCATCCCTTAGCTTTTGTTTATTTCTCTGCAGCTCTGTCAGCATGTTTATGATTTCTATTTTGAATTCTTTTTCAGGGAGACTGGTTATGTCTGTTTCTGCAGATCCTCTCTCAGGTGTTGTCTGAACTATCTTGGACTGGACTAAATTTTTTTGCCTTATCATGGTGATAGCAGTGGCTGTAGGCAGGTTGCGGGTGTGCCAGCTGGGAAAAGAAAGTTCTTTCCTGCTTGCTGGATGCCTTGCCCTTCTCCGCTGCCTGTGTCGATTACCCACACTCCTGGAGTAGCCACTGGGTTAATCCCCTATGCCGCTGTGGCTGGGGTCTCTGTCAGAGCAGCGTGGAGCCCTGCCGGGAGTGGGAGACACGCCAGGTGCACTCCTCTGCAATAGCAATGCCCCTGCCCGGCAGCTGTGTACCAGCAGCGGCCTTTGGGTCTCGCCTGGGCAGCTGTGCGTCGAGCTGGGATTCTTTTCGGCTGCTGGGAGTGCAGCTGCTCCCTCTGGCACCACTGCAGGTGCACACGGGCCTCTCCCACGCAGACGTCTCCTGGGCTCCTCTGGCGCCACTTTCACCAGTGTACATGGCCCACACCTGGGCTCTTCGGTCGCTGCCGTGGGAGGCTCGTACGAGCTGCTCCCAGTCCCCTCTGGCACTGCTGGCGCATGCGATCTGCTCCCAGTCCCCTCCAGCGCTGCCGCCCCCAGCACGCGCTGCCACTCTCCCACCACTGGGCCGGTGTGTCAGGGTCTGCACCAGTTGGAAGAACGACTGGCAGGCTGCTTAGTGCCATGAGAGGCTTCAGAGCTGCACTGCCTCCCCAGGGTTTAGGGCACCTACGGTTCCTCGGGATTCCCAGCTGCTGGCTAAGTGTGCTGGGATCACTTCGTCCAGCTGTGGGGGTCCCTGTGTCTTTAAGACTTGCAGAAAACACTCACTTTTCTTTTGTCTCAGGGGCGCCAGTTGTGGGGACCTGCCCACTGGTTTTGCTTTTCCATTTCTCTAATATCCAGCACCCCGTGCACCTTGTGTCTGTGCTCTGGGTGCGGATTTCTAGAGCTGGTTGTTTAGAAGTCCTGGGCTTTCACTCCCTCCCTGTTCTGACTCCTTTCTTCCCACTGGGTTCTGGGGTGGGGGGGCGTTCAGGTCCCACCTGGCTGCAGCTTGTATCTTACCCCCTTCGAGTGATGTTGAGTTCTCGCAGATATAGATGTATCCTGGCTGTTGTACTGCATCCACTGGTGTCTCTTTTAGGAGTAGTTGTATTTATTGTATTTTCAAAAATATGTATGTTTTGTGGAGGAGATTTCCACTGAACTACTCACACCATCATCCTGTGATCCCTCCTTGAACTTTTTATCGCAGATGTAGTCCAACTTTGAGGAAAGCCATATTTGTTCTGAGGCAATTTCTGAAAGGGGATTATAATTCAGGATAGTGGTCAGGACAGAAAATGATATGTGTCAACTATTGCATATGTATTATATTGCAGAGAATGTAAATCAACCATCTTTCATAGGTATAAGATGATTTTTCCGAGACTATTGACCTTATGGTTCTTCACCTGTTATTCAGAAAGAAACCAATTCTTTATTACTTCCATTGATAAAATACTCAAACATAAATATAAAAAGCACATGAACTTGTAGTTCTCAACTTTAGGATGTCAGTGAAAAGGCAGAGATAATACAGGCGTATAAACAAAGATTCTCTTGGCCATGTTTTTCAAAATCTTTTGCCAAGGAAATTCCCCACCTACCAAATCTTACCCAGTTTACACCCCCTCTTACAAACTGATGGACTGAAATTTTTAGCCTATGTAATAAATTATTAGCACACAGATAAATTAATCTTGATAAAATAACCATAATCTCTTTGGTACAGTGCTTTTGTGTATGCAGGAATTTGACTTATAATTCGATATATAAGTCTTATTAAGGACATATTGGTGGCACAAAGCCTTGCTATATATACCCTGCTGAGTGAGGTTCATTGATGAGATTTTTCCAACTCTAAAGAGTATAACCTGCTATGTATTCCCATTACTGTAATCTAAATGCTAAACTCAATACTAGAACATCACATTTGGAAGGATTTAAAGAAAGATGTTTTACTTTATTAACCAATCATTGTGTGCTTTCAAAGCTACGAGTCATCATAATTATAGCTGTGCAAAGCTAAAAAGTATGCATGTTTTCTAGTGTATGTTTTCTCTTTTCTTGTTCTACTTCATGGATAACTCAAGAAACAGAAAATTACTACCTACCTCCTTAAGGTCTTTGCCCTGCCTGCCCATGAGACAAGACACAAATTAAAGTAATTTTACTGAAGATTACCAGCTACCAAATAATATATTCATGTAGTTGATTTTTATGTATTTTGAACTCAGTTGTTTTTTATCTTGCCAGGAGCTGAATGAAAACCAGAGCACCCCCAAAAAAGAAAAACAGGAATGGCTTTCAAAGCAGAAAGAGAATATACAGCATTTCCAAGCAGAGGAAGAGGCTAATCTTCTTCAACGTCAGAGACAGTACCTAGAGCTGGAATGCCGTCGCTTCAAAAGAAGGATGTTACTTGGGCGCCATAACTTGGAGCAGGACCTTGTCAGGGAGGTATGTTTAAATGGTGTGAAATCAGAATCTTCCTGAAAATATGTCAAATCACATCCCACCCTCAAGGCTTTAGAGTGCTGCTTCCCTTTGCCTAAGTCCTTCTTCCCTGGAAACCCAACCCACACGGTTCACTTTCTCCATCACTTCATGTCTCCTCACTTCTGATCACCAAATCCTTCTCCTTCTTTAAATATTCTTGCACTCTTCTCTCTCTCTCTCTCTCTCTCTCTCTCTCTCTCTCACACACACACACACGCGCGCGCGCGCACGCGCGTGCATGCGTGAGTGCATGGACACACTTTTTATGGGGATCTCTCTCTCCCCAACTAGAAAGGAAATTATATGAAGTCCCAGGTTTTGTTCAGGGCTTTTATATCCAGTGGCTAGATATATCCTCGCCTTATATGTAGTGACTGGCCCATAATAGGTATTCAATAAATATATATTATGTAAATATTTAATAAATATTAAATCCATGAGTGAAAGAAGTATTAGTTTTTAAACTATGAAAAAACTAATTAGATAGTTTATGTCTTTTCATCTGAAATGGGTACCATGAAGGTATATATTACCATTTAATATATTTTTGTAATCACGAAATTATTTATTGGGCATATATAAAAACTTTTATGCCAATGAAAACAATGGTTCTCATTTTCAGGTATACCTATGAGCATAGATGAATTTGTTTCCAAGAGTGGCTTAAAATAAGCTTCAAATATAATATAATTACTCAAATTTACTAATAATTAAATAAATCCAAAGTAAAGCAATTGCACCACTTAGATAAGAACAGTCTAAAAAATAGGTTAAGTCCTAGTAGTGGCCTGGGAAAGTGGGCAATGTTGTTAAGAATGTAAATTGATACTGCCATTTTGGAGCATAATTCAGTTTGTACAGTTTAATTTGCATGTATCTTCTACCCATCAAGTTCACTTCTAGAATTCTATCCTAAAGAAATAATAACATAGTTGTATGTTGTATCATGTTGATGTTTATTGAAAATTTGTCATGAAGCAAAAAATGGAAAAACTGTTTATTGAAAAATTGTCATAAAGCAAAAAATGGAAAAACTATGGCATCACAAAGCAGAAGCTTACTATAAAACTTTAAAAAAAAGATCTATATGTCCTGGTCTGATCTGGATATTTGTCCATTATATTTTTAGGTAAAGAAAGCATATTATATGCCTAAAATATATATTGTTATTCAATTTTGAAAGTGTATGTTTTTGTGTAATAGTTGTATCACAATAAGCATGGGGAAGGTTGGGAAACATGCACCAAATTGTTGGCCTCTGGAGAAGGGGCAGCAGAGGCAAAGGGGACAAGTTTGACTTACTTCTACAGAGAAAGAGTGTGTAAGTGTATGTGTGTGTGTTGTACATTTGATCTTTTTAAACTGAAAAAAATTGTAATAACATTTCTTGATCATGAGGTATATATTCTGAGAGCTTTCCACTTATGAACTCATTTCACCCTCACGTTAATTTTATGAAACAGCTATGTTATGGTCTCCATTTGAGAAGTAATGAAATGGAAGCACAGAGAATTTAAGTAATTAACCCAAGGACTCACTGCTTGTCAGTAACAGAGCCAGGATTCAGAAAGCAGGCAGCCTAGGCCTAGAGTCTTGTGTTCTTAACCACTGCACTATACTGGGTATACTGCATGTAATAGAATTGAATGTATACTCTGAAGAAATTCAAAGGATGACTTAGAAATCCTGTTCAAACACAAAATTAGGAAACTTAAATGACGGAGAGTAGAAAGGACATTAAGTCTCTTGGGACAGATTTGATATATCTTAAGCTTATTGCTAAAAATAGTATAAATGGTAAATGAACAGATAAATAAATTATGCTACTATTTGCCCATTTTCTACAGTTAAAATAATAAAACACTAATGTTTACTGTGCAGTCATTACTAAATCAGAGGATTACATCTATATCCTGGTTATTCTGTTTCTTAGGATTTTTTTTCCCCTGGCATTGTACATCAGTAAATTATGCCTTTGTCTTTTGTTATGAATTAGGAGTTAAATAAGAGGCAGACTCAAAAGGACTTGGAGCATGCAATGCTACTGCGACAGCATGAATCCACGCAAGAACTGGAGTTCCGCCACCTCAACACAATTCAGAAGATGCGCTGTGAGCTGATCAGATTGCAGCATCAAACCGAACTCACTAACCAGCTGGAGTATAATAAACGAAGAGAACGAGAACTAAGGCGAAAGCATGTCATGGAGGTTCGACAACAGCCTAAGAGTCTGAAGGTACCTTTAGCCTAAGCTTCTTGACAAAGGAGAACAGATAAAAGGCATCATGTAAACACTAAAAGTCTAAGCCAGATGTCTGCCATAAAGAAATTGAATAAGCTTTTTTTCTTTTCATTTTAAGCATGTTTGGTTAGTTTTGATGTAGAGGGTCTGTAGCTACAGACTTCTGCTTATGTATTCCTCAGCAGAGTACCAAAAAATGGCCAGAACTTCTTAACTGTGAAAAGTGCCATAAATAAGATACAAAATCCTTATTTTAAGTGTACCCAAATGTCCAATGTTGATACTACAACTATATATCAACATACTAACCTGTTGGCTTCTCTCTGTTGTTACAAGTTTTATAGTTTCGGGATCTTATTTCCTCTGAATGTGATTTGTATCCAAAAAAGGCAGTAAGTTGTTGATTAGTACAGAACAGTGAATGAAAAATGCCTTTTTACCCCCTCTCCCTTCATTGTCTATACTCATCCTAAGAGGAATAGTGGAATTACCACGTTACTCCCATTCTTTCTGTGCTTGGTAGCATAGGTAAGACCAGGGCATGTGTAAAGTTGGAGTATATTTTTTAAATTAGTACATCAGAGTGAAGCAAGTTATTATTATATGCCCTCTTGTAGACAAATAAGGAAAGACAAGTGTTGGTGATGTATAATAATATCTAAGGACTTTAAATTTTATATTTGCTATGCATAGAGGAATTTATTCATAGGATACAAAATTCAAAAGATACCAAAGCGTATTTATTATAAAGTTAAAGGTTTTCCTCTCCTTGTCCTTTAAGCCACCTGGTCCAGCCCCCTCTACCAAAATCAAACAGAGTTAACAATTCCACGGGATTTTCAAATAACTTGTAATAAATATGTGAAGTATAATGACATGAATCTTAATGAACAAAAAATCAAAATGACCCACTATATATGTTGTCATCCATAGTAGTACCTCAATTAATCTGTACATGTCTGCACATTTTAAACTTCTATTTACATCTAATAAGGCCCAGGTCCCACAATATCTTCTTTACCCCCCTTTTCCAACTCTGACAATTTAACTATAAAACTATCAGGTAACAACACTTACCTGAATAACTTTCCTGAAGTGAAGTGACATTCACTCATAGAAGTAATCTGTGTCAAAACCAGAAGCTAAGCCACACCTGGTGGTATCTTTGATTCCTGTTCAACTCCATTCATACAGGTTGTCCTGAACAAAATACAGAAGCAAAGCTAAGATTCACCCTTTCCTCGTGAATCTAAGAAAAATGTTACTTTGCTGTATCTTCAAAACAGCTAATGAACATCGTTTACAGAGTGGCTCATATGTTGACTACCCACATAACATCATTAGTTAATGCTTATAAAAATCAGATTTCATAATGATTTTCCAGATTTATTTTGTCTTTGTAGTGGCTACACAGTAGAGTTTCCCACCAAAAGGTATTTAAAGCATGTCTATAAAATTAATTACAATTTTGAAGTGACCAGCACCCAGAAGTAAACCAAACTGAAAGCTTGTTGGTTTTCTTTGGTCAAACCATAAATCTGATAGGACTTCATTTCTCTGGGGCTTGGAATAGGTTAGTTGTTTGCTGTTTAATCCCTTTCTTTTTTTTCCTCTGTTGCAGCCTTCTCAGTTTGAAAGGTTGAAAACACTAGTCTGAGTTTCACAGATGCTATTAAAAAATCAAGGGGAAAAATAATGTTTCACAATCATAGTCAGACTTCAGATAGAAAGGTTCCTTCTCATGATACATAAGCTCAAGATATTCCATAAAAGAAATTGTTCTTTTTACTTTTGTGGGAAAGAAAATCACCATGTTCCTCTTAGTTATATATATCTATCTACTTGCACAATTTGAACAAAACAGACTCTTTTTTTTAAATTAAGGTATCATTGATAAACAATCTTAAGAAGGTTTCACATGAGCAACATTGTGGTTTCAACATTGACTCATATTATCAAGTCCGCCCCACCCTATGGTAGTCACTGTCCATCAGCGTAGTAAGACCCTATAGAGTCATTACTGTCTTCTCCGTGCTGTACTGCCTTCCCCATGACCCCCCCTATATTATGAGCGCTAATTATTGTGCCGCTTAATCCCCTTCTCCCTCCCTCCCAACCCACGCTCCCCAAACACTTCCCTTTGTAACCCTATCCCTTTGTGGAGAAAACAGACTCTTTTAACACCAGGTCATTTCATTTACGCAAGTAACAGTTGCAACTTTTTTAGGTAAATTTTTATTTACTAAGTAATAGTTCAGCTTCCATAGTTGCAACTATTCCAGCTTTCTCCAAGACTTTAAGGGGGATAGGAGGACTTCAGTGTGCACACTTAGATAAGCTGACAGTATTTGTAGACATTGGGCACTATTTCTGTGGAATGACTTGGGTAAACACCTATTGTCTATCTTCATCTGCTATCAGGTGATGTTTTGTCAGTATTAAGTGATTAAGAAACAACTGGAACATGTTTATCCTGCTTTCACTTGAGTGAAACATTGAGGGATATAGTTTATTCTTGGTATAAGTATTAATCTTGTTGAAAAAAATTTTCAGGGCATTCCTTTTTGTCATTAGCTAGTGATATGGAGTGACTATAGTTTTCTTGGCAAAATATTTGAATATTTAAAAGTTTTTTAAAGAATGGAGTCTGTTACACAAAGTCAGAAGAGAATTCTAAATTTCATTGTTCCATTCCTAACTTGGAGGAATTTTATTAACCAAGGGCAGTATTCAAGAGCAGTGCTAAGCCAACTAAACCAAGAGTTTGTCTTTCTAGCTAGACATTTCTTGATCCTTCGCAGAATAAAGGTACATGACTATGAGTTAGTACCTCAATTGGTGTAAAATGCAGAAAAGGATATATATTTGATTTTGTAGTATTGGAGCAAAGAGTGTGAACTAGTTCCTTGACAAGAGTGTTTGGTCATACATGCATTTGCACACTTAATCAACCATTCAATATCTGGCAGTATATATATTGAGGTAAATAATTTCAACTATAGGTTCTGCCTTTGTGTAGTAAATGAGTGTTGTTACTTGTAGGCTTGATGGGTATACCTTAGAAAATATCATCTTACTAAGTTTTATTAAAACTTGAGTTCATAGAATAATTAACCTATGATTTAAAGCCAGAGTTATTATGTTTCTGAACTCAAATTATTTTATCTCAAAACTGTTTATGTAGTTCATGACTGTTATCATTACCGCAAGAAGGGTTGTCGTCCCTTCCGTTGCCTCATAACTTTTCTTTGACCTTTGAAAGATTAGTTAACTGACTTTCAGGTTTTTGCTCATGGTGCTAAAGAGTAAACCCTTATGAAGTAGTTTCTACCTAGTTCAATATCTTAAGGAAAAGACAATTGTAATAACAATATCAGTCAGTTACTAGTACCCTACTTTTATGGGGTCCATCACAGACTATATTTACAGTTGAGATTGTCATTAAAAGAAATTGGAGCAAAATGTCTTAGATAAGGAACAGAGTAAATATGCTTATTTTCTGCTTCAGGGATCTGATAAAATATTGTCTGGCCAATAAAATTATTTGATGTCTACTACACTTAGTGCATGAAAAGAAATGTAATTTTCTGCCATCAGTATACACAGAAATCAAAGGTAATTTTAATACTTACTCAGGTCACTAAATTAAAAACTAAATAAGTATTGCCTGAAGTCCTATGATAAATGAAGTTCTTGGTATTCTTATGTTTTAGAGTTTGTTATAAAATTGCATGGAATCCAATGGTTTGACCCAAGTATAGGAAGTACCTGCAACCTTATGATCTGAGTTTTTGTTTCTTCTTTTCTATTCTAGCCTTTTCATGTATAAGCTATACCAAATGCCATGTGTTAAAAATTATCTATCTTTTTTCTTTCCAGTCTAAAGAACTCCAAATAAAAAAGCAGTTCCAGGACACCTGCAAAATCCAAACCAGACAGTACAAAGCATTAAGAAATCACTTACTGGAGACTACACCAAAGAGTGAGCACAAGGCTGTTCTGAAACGGCTTAAGGAGGAGCAGACCCGGAAGTTAGCCATCTTAGCTGAGCAGTATGACCACAGCATTAATGAAATGCTCTCCACACAAGCTGTAAGTTTATTTTATTTAGGCAAAACAAACTGAGTGCCCTTTTCCTTCCACCACCTGAATAAATCCCTACAATTAAAATATTGAGTTGGAAATGAAACTCTGCTTCACCTTGGGAAATAGTGCTGGTGGTCCATATTCTTTATGCATGATGTGTATATAATTCTCTTTGATACATTTGGACATGAGGTTCTACATAGGCTCTCTGCGGGTGCCTTGCAGGGGTTTAGTACACACACCAACAGCGTATCAAGATTGGAGAAGCAGCTTTGTTAAGCAGAGTTTAGAAAGTAGTACTTGATTGGGAATCCAGGTAGTTCCATTTGAGTGCAGATACAAAATATTTGCTATGTAAGTTTACAGACTTTTTCTTAATTGGCCAGATAGTAAATATTTTAGGCTTTGTGGGCCAGGAGGAAAAATTGAGGTTATTATGTGGGTATTTACATTGCCATTTAAAATGTGACCATTTCAGAATATAAAAAAACATTCCTAATTAGTGGGCTATTGAAAAACAAAAACAAAAAATCAGGTAGCTGTTCAGATTTGGCCCATAAGCTGTAGTATGCTTGTCCCTATTCTATAGTTATTTCCATTGGATAGAAGAGATTCAGAGTCTTATATCAATCAGATTCTATATTTTTCTTTAAAAAAAGAATGATTATTTAGGCATCATCCAAATAGCTTATGATAGCTTTATCCTTATAATGCCATCATTGGTGCTATGTTTTCCTTTTTCAGAGATGTTTACTGCAGGATGTAAGAGAGAACAGCTGTGCTCTATGGAAGAGTAGTCTGTCTTAACTTACACCTCCTCCTTCCCAGACGTTATGAAAAGATAGCTCACAGGAGGATGTATCTGTTTTCTTTCTCTCTTTCAGCTGCGTTTGGATGAAGCACAGGAGGCAGAGTGCCAGGTTTTGAAAATGCAGCTGCAGCAGGAACTGGAGCTGTTGAATGCATATCAGAGCAAAATCAAGATGCAGGCTGAGGCACAACATGATCGAGAGCTTCGGGAGCTTGAACAGAGGGTCTCCCTCCGCAGGGCACTCTTAGAACAAAAGGTATAAGTAATAGAAAAAAGTAATTATGCTAGTATTTGCTTTCATCAATATCATTTTGTAAATATATTTTCATGATGATAGAGGTGGCATTAGATTGTTTTCACAATACCATATTTGCTTAATTCAGTTTTCGTAGTGTTTTCTTTTTCTTTAAAATTAATGAGTTTGATATATTAAGGGAATATACTTAAGTAGTAATTGCTAGAGGGATGATGTGGAGTTATGTGAAGACAGTTGAATTGTGGAAGGATAGCTCTGGCTCTGTCTTGCTCAGTTTTTTTGTGTACGTAGTTGTATCTAAAGAAATTGGAGAAAAAGTTGGATAGTGAAGGAAAAAACTTTAGCAATTGCTTGGGAGAGACAAGGAAAAAGGATCAGGAATATACTTTATTCATTCATCCTTGGTCTGGAACTGTACAGATTGGTAGATTACTAGAAAACAGAAGGTAAAACCAGTTTTACACAGAGGAAGAGTTAGGCTGAAAATATTATTTCTAGATATATCTTTATTTATTTTACTTATTCTTTGTCACATATATTAGAACTAGAATCCCTAAATTCACTTGTATCCTTTAAGGTACTGAGGCTTATGTGTGTGTGTATGTTGAAGAAAGAACGATAGATAGAAGATTTTGAGAAAGAAAGAGAGGAAAGGCATTAGTTTTGAGTAGTAGTAGAATGTCAGCTGCCTCTAGGATTGAATGCTATGTTCCAGAATTCCTGAGCCATAAGTTCCTAGCAGCTGGTATGGCCTTAGGTCCATTGGTCCATTGTAAGTTAACGCGTGCCTAATGGTTTTGTCTATTAAAAATTGTCATTGCATCTGGACCATTAATTGGCCCATAGATTTTCCTCTATTTTCTATAGTTCTTGTGATAGAAGTAGAATACTTCATTTATATTAAAAAAATATATTCTTTATAAATCCACCTAAATAAGGTGTTGCTGTTTCACTGGCTCAGCTGTCTTTATTACTGGCTTCTTTGACAGTTACTTGCCTCTAAAAATTATCTCAATTATGTTTCTCATTCAAGATGGGCAGATTGAAACACACATAAATTTTTAGAAAAATGTAATTGTTCCATGTAAAGAATTCATAAATCTGCCTGATTTCAACTTGAATATTTAAAATGTAATATAAAGTTCCATCTCTTATGCTTCAAATTTATCACTAAAAAAAAAAAACCTATGATATTTCACTAACAGTGTTATGAGAGAAATATTGGTACTGTTTTATTTGTATTTTTAGCTCCACCTAGTGGCTCAGAGTTAAAGAGTGCTAATAAGTATCTTAGGTGTAGTCTTATTTCAATATATGAACTAAGGCCTTTGTGTTCTACAAAACCCGGTAAAGTGTTGGCATAGGGTTGATACCATTGCCAAGAGTGCAGATGTTAATCAAATAATTTAGAGAATTTAGAGAAAAGAAATCCAGAATACAGGGCAAACAGTAAACAAAGAATTTTGAGAATTCAGAGAAAAGAAATCCTGAATACAGGGAAAGCAATATGCATAAATATGTTAATTATGGCATCATTTATAATGATTTAAAATACCATCTAAAATAATTAAGTACTCATGACCAAGCCACTTAATAAAATCTTACTCAATCCATTTAAATGATGCCTATAAAGATAGTATTAGATAGTATTAATGTGAAAAAATGCTTATGAGGTGCTGAATAAAATAAAGACAAATCACACTTAAGGTGAATTGAACTAATGCTTATAATGGCTATATTAATATGGTAGATTGGTTGTGTGGTTTATATTATTTAGATAATGGACATGCACAAGATTATTTAGTATTAAAAATAATAAAAGAAACAGTGGAATGTATCTACAGTGCTTTGAGTTGCTACTTGATTTTTAGGGCTCATGTTTACATTTCAAGTGAAGTGTGTGACTATAAAGCAGTTTGGGGTCAGTCAGTTGGCTACTGCCAAGGCCGTGATACATGGTATGAGTTGTTAACATCGTAACATCTATATTTTCTGTACTTTGTGCTTACTGGTTGTACAGATAAGAAACAGTCATCTGAAAAGAGAGGTGGAACCAGAGAGAATGTTAGTTGTTTCTAGATGAATAATAATTCTGTTTAAAGATTGCTTTCAGCCTCCAAATGAACCAAGAATTATCCTCCAGGTCACCAACAGAGTAAGCCTCAGTTGAGGCTCACATGAGGTCTTACTGCAACTTTCCTTGTGCTTCATTTACATTAAATTTCAGCAAAATGACAACATCACTATAAACGTTAAATTCTATGTGAATTTCATACATGCATAAGAAGTGGCAGTATTTCCAAAGTATAAATGGGCTTTTCTTTGTTGTATCATTTCCTTTAATTTTCCCTGAATATTTCACTTAGTATCAACATCATGGTTGGTAGTTTTTAAATAAGAATTGACAATTGGAATATCTTATAGGACCTTTCAGACTGGTAATATTCACACAAAAAATATCACATTTGATTTCAGAGAAGATAGATTAGGAGAGAAGTCTCAGAAGTCTTATACCCAGTGAAACCACCCTTCTTATTTACAGTAATAAGATATTTTCAAAGAAATGGGGGTTAATGTAGCCTATCACAAATCTTAGTTTTTATTTTTATTGAAAAATATTCTGAGTTTCTTAAATGACAAAACTAATTCAGCAAACAAAATTGAAGCTGTGCTTACTGGATAAAAGTGGATAAGCATTAATGTGTTTAACATTTTTACCATGAGTTTCCCTCAAATAATATACAAGGCACTCAAGTTAAATACTCAGTACAAGGCTTTTATTAGGTCCTTTGAATTAAATGCTCTTAATAAATGGATTTTTGAAATTTTAAAATAGACTTAAAAGAAAATTTGAAGTTATTTGAATCCTTGCAGATATCTACATTAATTCTATATGAATTGGATATTTTATATGTAGATATTAAAAGTGGAAAAATTATTTTACAAACATTTTTTTGAACTTGGCAATTATATAGAAACAAATAGAAATTAAAATGTCTTTAATCCCACCACTCAGAAGTCACCACAGTTAATTTGATATCTTTCCCTTAGAAGAAACCTTGTATCTAATCTTGTTCTCTTTCAACCTTCATTAGGAAGTGCCCTCTGTAAACCTTTGTAACACTTTAGTACTCAGAGTTTAATAATTTTCAAACTCACCCTACCAAAGTCCATTCTGGTCTATTTGTAATTCCCCACACACATACTATCATTTTGCATGCCTTTGCCCATGTTCCCTCTGCTGAAAATATCTTTCCCTTACCTTGTCTTCTGGTAAACTTGTGCTTTTCCTTCAGAATCCAGTCTCTGTCACCTTCTCTGAGAAGACTTCTTTGCCCTACTCTTCTTCCCCTATAGAGTGAATTACTCCATCCCTTTGTATTTCTGTTTCACCTTATAAATCTGTTATTACATCTGATCATATTATGTGGCAGTTTTTTATTTGCATGTGTTTCCATGCTAAATTGTGTTTTTTTAAAAGGCCACTTTAAAAAATGATACATTAGAGGGGACTTGATAATATGGATGAAGGTTGTAACCACAGTGTTGCTCATGTGACACCTTCATAAGATTGTATATCAATGATAACTTAGTAAAAAAAAGATACATAAAAACTAAACATTTGTTGAACTAGATTTCTGTAGAGAACAATGACTTGATTGGCTTAAGTCCTCAAATATCTTGAAACCTAATTGAATACTTCTTTACACATTCTCTTTATTTCCTATTTTTTAAAAACTTTGTATCATGGAAATTTTCAAATGCACACAAAAAGTATTAGTGAAATTATTAAAAATTAGTACAATGAAGTCCCCAAATACTCATTACCCAACTTCAACAGTTACCAGTATCTTGCTAATATTTCATCTGGTTCCCCACTCCACATGCAGCTTTTTAGGGGAGCAGAAGATGGGGCAGAGTATCTGGAATATTTTAAAGCGAATCCCAGCATAGAATCATTTAACTCCAAACACAGATAAGGAAATAAGGACTCTTATACTTTAACATAGTCATAATTCCATTGTGCTAACTAACAAAATTATAATAAATATTTAAGATTACCCACTACTCAGTCCATACATGAATTTCCCTTTGTATCTAAAAAATGTCTTCTTTGTTTATTGAGACTGGGCTCAAACATCGTGTAGACATTGCATTTGATTGTCTTTTGGTCTCCCCTGCCCTTTCTTGTATTATTGTGGACTGGGTCATTTGCTTTGTAGGAATTCTCAAATTTGGATTTGGCTGATTCCAACCTCATGGTGTCATTTAATGCATTCCTCTTTACTTTGTATTTCCTGTAAACCGGTTGTTAGATCTAGGGGCATGATTATGTTTATTTAAAAATTTTTTTCCTTTTAAAAATTTTTGTGAGGATTTTTCATAAGGGTTACTGTGTTATACTTCCTTTTGCATCACATCAAAAGATATATAATGTCTAGTTGTCCCACTTTGAAGTGATATTTGGTGAGTGGGTTCAGGTATTCTCATTCATTAACAAGTTCTCCATCAACTTCTTCCCATTGTCATTGACTTTATTATGTACTTTTTCACATTAAAAAAAAATTAAAGCTATATATATTTGTAAACCTTTGAGTTGTCCAGAACTGATTATGATGGGTATCCACCCACTAATCTCTAAGTACATAGTTTTCTAACTTTCTAATGGAAACTTTACAGTTTTTGTTTGTTTTCACTTAATGCTCTGATCTATCTGGAATATGGTATCAGATGAGGTTTCATTTTTATTTTCTTCCAGATGATTGGCCACTTGTGCCTGTGTTGTTTTTCCCATTAAATTAATCATTACTCTTGTACATTAAAAACTTACAAACTTCATTCTGTTTATGTTTTACTAATTGCTGATTCCTACACCAATACCATATTTATTATATTAGAGTGACATTATGGCATGTCTAATAAGGCTAGATTCTCCTTACACATTTTCTTTTTCATTCCCTTTACCTAATAGATTTAGTAGCCATTGATGATAATTGCCTTGATGTATTATTTCAATACATCAAGGCAATTTTTTTTCTTTCCTTTTAAGAACTTAATTTTACACATTTTAGGATTATAAGTTACATATGATTCTTACAGTACAGCTCTTTGATTTTTAAATGTACATCCTTTAAAATAGCCAGAGTGGACATTAGTGTTTTTTTTGGTATCATTAATGTACAATTACATGAGGAACATTATGTTTACTAGACTCCCCCCATCACCGTGTCCCCCCAACATACCCCTTTACAGTCACTTTCCATCAGCATAGTAATCACTATAGAATCACTACTTGTCTTCTCTGTGTTGTACAGCCCTCCCTGTGCCCCACACACATTATGTCTCCTAATAGTAATGTGACTTTTTTTTCCCACCTTATCCCTCCCTTCCCACTCATCCTCCCCAGTCCCTTTCCCTTTGGTGACTGTTAGTCCATTCTTGGGTTCTATAAGTCTGCTGCTGTTTTGTTCCTTCAGTTTTTTTCTTTGTTCTTATACTTCACAGATGAGTGAAATCATTTGATAACTTGTCTTTTCTGCCTGACTCATTTCACTGATAATACCCTCTAGCTCCATCCATGTTGCTGCAAATGGTAGGATTTGTTTTCTTCTTATGGCTGAATAATATTCCATTGTGTGTATATACCACATCTTCTTTATCCATTCATCTACTGATGGACACTTAGGTTGCTACCGTATCTTGGCTATTGTAAATAGTGCTGCGATAAAGAAAGGGGTGCATATGTCTGTTTGAAACTGGGCTGCTGCATTCTTAGGGTAAATTCCTAGGAGTGGAATTCCTGGGTCAAATGGTATTGCTATTTTGAGTTTTTTTGAGGAACCTCCATACTGCTTTCCACAATGGTTGAACTAATTTACATTCCCACCAGCAGTGTAGGAGGGTTCCCCAGAGAGTGGACATTTTTATGATTCACTTTAAGCCAGAATAATTATTGCTTCTGTAGTTTATAGATTTTTTAAAAATATATGAGCATTCTTTTTGCTTCTTCCCCCAACCCACAACAGATTGAAGAAGAGATGTTGACATTGCAGAATGAACGCACTGAACGAATACGAAGCCTGCTGGAGCGTCAAGCCAGAGAAATTGAAGCTTTCGACTCTGAAAGCATGAGACTAGGTTTTAGTAACATGGTCCTTTCTAACCTTGCCCCTGAGGCATTCAGCCACAGCTATCCGGGAGCTTCTGGTTGGCCTCACAATCCTACTGGGGGTCCAGGACCTCACTGGGGGCATCCCATAGGTGGCCCACCACAAGCCTGGGGCCATCCAATGCAAGGTGGCCCCCAGCCATGGGGTCACCCTTCCGGGCCAATGCAAGGGGTACCCCGAGGTAGCAGTATGGGAGTCCGCAATAGCCCTCAGGCTCTAAGGCGGACAGCTTCCGGGGGACGGACGGAACAAGGCATGAGCAGAAGCACGAGTGTCACTTCACAAATATCCAATGGGTCACACATGTCTTACACATAATAATTGAGAATGGCAATTCCGCTGGAGCTGTCCGCCAAAAGAAACTGCCTACAGACATCATCCCAGCAGCCTCCTCACTTGGGTACTACCGTGTGGAAGCTGAGTGCATATGGTATATTTTATTCATTTTTGTAAAGCGTTCTGTTTTGTGTTTACTAATTGGGATATAATAGTATTTGGCTGCTGGGTTTTGTGTTTTGTCTTGTTTTTAACTTTTGGAGAAATTTTCTGAAATGGGGAATTGGTGTGTATGTGTGTTTATCAAATACACACAGACACACACACATATAATGCATGTGGTAAAAAGAAACTGGCTAGATATGGGGTATTTTCTGAAAACTGCAAAAACAGAATCCAGCAAAGTGGCTTGAGTCATCACTTTTGGGCAACTCTATCCTAAGAAATTTGTGAAAAGATCTAAAGCCTTTCTCCATATACCCCACCCAGGTTCTTATGAGCCACTCACAGCAGGCAGCATATGCTTAAGCAAGTTATTATGGAAACACCTGTATCCCCTCACCAATGTATTTTGTTTATTAAATTGGTCTGACTTTTGTTTATTAAATTGGCCTCATTTGGAGTAAAAAAGGAAGTGGAAATCCATGAACACTAAAGAGTTGCACTGACTTTTTCAGAGAGTAGAAGACAACCTAATTCTTTTTCTTGATCACAAGTTTTATGGGAATTGCTTCACCAAACCTGTGAGCCTCCAAAGGGGAAGACAAAAAGGGTGAGAGGGGCCCCTGAAAGCTCATGTGATGGGTATGTGCAACAGCAGAGTGAGGAGTTGAAGCCTATATATCCTGACGTTTTGTTGCTTATACTGTGGTATCTCAGCTAAGCTCTGTTAACTTCTAAGACCCCAGACAGTACTTTTACTTTGTTTATACAAAAACAAAGACATATAGCCAATACAAATCAAATGCCAGAGGTATTTGAATGATGCCGTATTTACGGAACACATTGGAATTCTCATTACACTTCTTAGACATAATTCAATTACCCCCTTTTGGCTTATGGGATTTCCTGTTTACAGGTAGAATAGTGAATTATTTAAGTGCTTAGTTGCCATAGTGAACCAGGAGTCACTGAGCCAGTGACTTTGCCAGCTGCTGACTAACCCTCAGCACCACTGTAGGTTTTGCTGCATGTGCAGGTCCTCTTCTTTTTTTTTTAATTGCTGTTTTTGTTGCTGCAGTACTTTACAAATTTCTAGTTCCTTGAGACTTAGTGACTGTTTGGCATCATGTTATCATCACACCACAGAAAACACCACTTCCAGAAGTCTGAAGCCTCTGTGCTAAAGTACTACTGAAAAGGAACTAGCAAGTTTGGCAAATTAAAAAACAAACAAAAAAAAAAAAACTAAAGTGAGCTACAGTGGTCAGGAAATCTCTTGACTAAAGCTAACTTTTTTTATTCCAGATAGGGGTGTGTTTTGTTTTGTTTGTTTTGTTTTGTTTTGCAATGAAGGATCACCCCAATGCTGACAGTCAGGTGTGACTTGGTGTCCCACCATCAGTGTGGAGACTGAGCTGCAGGCAGGTGGGGAGCCATGAATATGACTTGAAGGGAAAAAATGTCCTTTCCAGTGAGCTCTCAAAGTTCCTTTAGGTTACTGTCCTGCCCTCTCCCCAGCTGTCTTGAAGAACCAGAGGCCCTGCTGCTGACTGATTCCTGCTTTTCACAGAGGGTTCCAAGGTAGAATTCTCCAAGGCCCTCTCAGTGATACTCTCCACCTAGACCAGACTAATCACCATTGAAATCTTGGTTTTCTCAACCAATTTAAGTCTTCTCCCAGTATGTCAGTCCAGTCTGCCTGAATCCACCCCTTTAGGAGTTTTTATCATTCCTTTAAATGTAACTGGAAGAAAAATTCGTATTTTAATGTAAATATTTTTAAAGCCAAGATCACAGTAGAGTTCACACACAATTTTAGGCAGTGTTTCAGGTAGCACTCTGGTCCGTCATCCTCTTGGCCATGGTTGAGATCACCAGTTTTTAGGTGAACATAACATGTACTTGTATCTACTGAAAGGGACTTTTAATTTTTTCAGTATCTCTTCTGCATTCAAATATTGTACAGTATGTCAGACAAATTGAGATATCTACATGTTTAGAGGAAAATAATAGGACCAAGCTCTAGAATTAATACAATGTCCAAAAATATAATGGAATTTGATAGCTTTTAAAAAATTCTTACTAGATTTGGCTCTTTTACACTACTGAAGCAGATCAGTTTTGCATATAAAACTTTAAAATAAAAGAAATGACCAGTAATACATATTAAAGTCTATAAAGGAATTAAATTAGTCAAATTGAGTTACTGAGTTGATGCAAAGAATATGTACTTGTAAAATCGTGATTGAATACTGACTCCAAATGTCTGTCCAGTAGGGCTTTGTATCAGATTGAGTTGTGTGGCAACCAGTTTTACATCACTGTACCTGGATTATTCCATTAAGTTAATTTGAATTAAAATACATATAGTTTGCAAAAAGATTCAAATTAATTCAGATTTATCATTCAGATTGGTTTGTGTGTGTTTGTAAGATTAACTTCTGAGGAATCTCAATCGTGGTAGGAATCATCAAAGAGTAAAAGCAGGAAAATTTGAAGGATTTTGAAAGATCCTAAAGAAAGAAACAGGCACTTTCTCAATCAGTGCTCAAATGTCAACCTTTGATTAAATTAATACTACCTCCTCCCTGGTGTTGGTGTTCACTTAGTATATATGTGTTTAAGAAAATAAAAAATATGGGAAATTTGTCCAGCATATCAGAAATTTGTAAATGCTATATCTGGTATCCAGAACTTGGCAGTAAAATGTTTCTTGTGTTTACTCTCTCTCCCTTTTTTTAAGTTAGCATTTTGAAAATGTAAAACCTCATGCCTTGAGATATTCCTTAATTGGGTTCCCTTCTTTTGATACATATTTTTTCTCCCTTTATTAAAATCAACTGTATTCCCAAATTACAGTATCTACAGGCATTTTCATTGTTACATAAGGTTAGCTGGAAAATGTATTTATATTATTTGTATTCAGAGCTGCCATTCTTTTTAGTAATTTCTGTACCTAGAGATGAATAGCCCTGCATTTGAAGCCACATCCACAGGTATAATATGCTTGGTACTCTAGGCCAAGGATTTATCAGTAAATTGAACTTTTTAGCATAATCATTATGATGTTCAGCTTCCTGGACATCAGGTATACACCACTCAGTACACTAAGAAACTGTCCTTGACACTCCTTCCCACTCCCACCTTTTTCCTCACCCCCTTTTCAAAACTCAAAAACTCTATTATGAGTGTCTTTTTCAGACCATAAGGCAGACTTTAGTAACTTTCTGCTTTAAGTACTAAATGTCTGGCATTTTAAATTTTTATAGAGTACATTGTGTTGGACACTGGAATAATACTCTTTATTTTCACCTGTGAAAAATGACTTCATTGTACTTGAAACACCTCTTTTGCATTTCTCCATTTGTGCCATTCACTAGTGGAAATAAATTGTATTATACCATGATCTACTGGCTTTTTAAAAAACTGTTAAATATGCACATTTTTGGTATAGCTATTATCATTTGTATGTATATATTGTATATACATATGAGTGCCTATATGTGTGTATAGATAGGTGGATGTACCTCATACTGTACATTTCCATCAGGGCACTTAAGGTTCTGTTACTTTGTTATTTCAGTCCTCAGTTAAGGCAAGAATGCATGTGTTTGTTAAGAGTGAGTACTCTGGGTTGATATTTATGAAAAGATGGTCATTAGATGCTATCTTTTCTTTTTTAATACCCTCTTAACACTTGTGTGGGTGGAAAGAAAGTTTAGTAAAATGTGGATCCATAAGTTGCAATGCAGTAAAATAGTACTGGGGATGGAGCCAGTTAGTGTTTCCGTGGGTCTGTGTTGTGATACAGTAAAACATAAGTGATGCAGAGAGAAATGAACCGTGGAAATTGAAAAACACTGGTGGTGATTCCTCTGCAAAGATGATAACCAATCACATAATCTTCATGTATGCTATCTATACATTTTTCTTAGTGTTGCCATTGATCCTTGTACTTTCTGTACTCCATTAATACTAATAATTAAAAATTCTGCTAAGGACCAAAACAGCCAAGAAAGGAATTACTGCTAAGGCACCTAAGGTTCTCCTAAACTTAAGTCAACAGGCAGTGGCCACTGGGAGAGAGGGATATGATATTGGCCTGGGGTTTTCTCTCTCTAGCTGCCTCTTCTTGCTAATAGTTCTTCATGCACCTCCCACCCCTTCTGAGCCACTACTGTACAAGCACAGATTTGGCCCAACAGCAGCCCTTTCCTAGGAATTTTATATGGTCCTGCATATTTTTGTCCCATTCTCGCAATGTGAAGTGTCTAGTGTGTATACAAGTTTGGAAATAATATGTTTAAGTATATAAGTATGAATATTAGTGATGTAAGGAGGTTCTTGTTCTTTAGATAAACTTCTTCCTCTAAGGAAAAAAGTCACATCTTGGGCTGCCATCTTTGAGATGCTTACCAAAATACAGATCATTATTAAAGAAAAACAAATTCACTATTTTGTTTTTTTTCTCATCTAACATGGTAGTGCTCCCACCAGTCTGTAGCATTGCCTTTGAAAAGGCACTCCAAGTTGGTAATAACTGGAAGTTTCCCATGCTCAGATTCCTTAAAAGGATGAAGAGTGTGCTATACATTTAGCAGACTTGCCTCTAGTGTACAAGGACTACTGATTGAAGTCTGTTTTGCTGTGTGTCTGGTTATGTTGTCTGCACTTTTATGAAATCACTGCAATAGGTCTGCATTGGAAATGACTTTGTGAGGAAGTAATTTTATTGAACACCGGCTAGAAAAAGAAATCGAAGCTGGCAACTCTTCCTTTATTGTGCATTTATAATTTTTACTGAATTCTAGGAGCCCTCTTTAAAGTCACATTGACTAATTTTTCCCCCATTTATATTCAGATTTACAAAATCTCACTCATACAAGGGAAGAGAAACCATTTGGCCTAATGGTTGTCTTCAGATCACAAGAAATAGAAAATATGCACCTTATCTGCCTGTTGTGGTTTTCTAAAACTTGCACTTCCCTCCCACTCACCCCAAAATAGATGGTCCTTAAAGAAAATACAGGCAGAGAATTCAAACTGGGGAGCCATTTACTATGTCACCATCACTGTTACCTGTTTCCCAACAATCCTGAGGTTTCAGAGATTTTTGTGTGTGTGTATGTGTCTGATTGTTTTGGGTTTGGTTTATTTTTAAATATACAAGAGATTCTTCTTACATAGAGAAAAAGATTAATCCTCTCTGAAGGATGCCCACTGGATATACTAGTCTGGTCATCTGTAGGTAGTTTGCCAAGAAAAGTAGAGAGAAGGTGAGACTTCTGAATGAATGAAAAGGGTATCCTGATGCCCAAGGATTCCCCCCAAAGTACGGGTAATTCAACCTGCACAGTTTCCTTTACACTCATAGTTTTTAGCAATTGTGAGTGGAAAGTCATGTAATTATCTGTAAATATGTAGCTAATAAATTGACCTAGTTTCTGTATTTTTTTGTTTTTGTACTAAAATTTATAAGTCTGTGCCAGCTAGAGAGGAGTTGCTGTCATTGCCAGTTCTCATCGTAGCATTGAACCCTGAAACCATCCTA